GTTCAGAATACCAACATGAAAGTTGAGCTATCGGAGAATGCTGAAATCATCGCTGCTCTGCATTCGTTTTTAGTCCAGTACAGTAACAGTGAATTCAAAAGCAGCGCCATGGATGTTCTCGGTGGTTTGTTTGATGGCATCAAAGAAGCTTTTGAAGAATTCAAAGCGAATGGCCTTTGTGGTGTGCTGGCGTGGGACAAGCCTAAAGCGATGCCTCAAGAGAAACAGTCAGAGTTCGTCAATCAGCTACAGAGTGTAAGCAAATCTACTTTTCTAAAATCTGATGAATGGGCCCAAGTGGTTTTTAAATGTCTAAAGGAATTCCAAGCCAGGAGAAGTAAGGACGAAGAAAAAGCTTGCCAAACAGTTATCCGTGGAGTGCTGCTGTGTGTGTTTTACTTGAGAGTCCTCAGTTTTAACCTGGAGACTTTAGGTTTACCAACGTATCCTAATGCAGAGGATATGCTCATGGTCCAAATGCAAGAGTTCTCACAAGTCGCCTTGGCTTATCTCAGTCTAGAAAATAACAACACTGTATCTTCGNGCTCATGGGCCAAATGCAAGAGTTCTCACAAGTCGCCTTGGCTTATCTCAGTCTAGAAAATAACAACACTGTATCTTCGTGCATTGCCTAGAGAGAATCCTATTGTCTTTTGTGACATCTGTAATGTTCTAGTAAAAGTAATAACTTGAAAACCGTGCACAGTTTTGTAAAAACCGACAAAATTATGTACTTATTAGTCTGTATATGTACATGTCAGACACGATCCGCAAAATGAAAGATGTTGAAAGTGCATCGATCAGCGGTCGTTTTGAGTGCTCTGGCTCTCTGGGAGTCATTTTCCTACATTTCAAAGTAAAAATGAGTGTTACAATTGAATTCACTGGATTATTATCTGGCATGTACAAAGGCTTCTGCTCACAGACCTAGTAACTAACTACAGAACTGTAAAATGGGCTAATTTCACTAATTTCACACCATGATGGCTTAGCCTTCATGGGGTATGAGCAATATTATACGGTGCTCTACAAATATGGTTACCTACGTGTAAGTTTTTGGAATCTTTTCTTCTCTTTTCTCTTAGTTTTTCATATTTTGAGGGCATTTTTAATAAAACGATTATTTCACTTACGCTTGTTGGATATGAGATGACTAAAGCCAACTTGGTGCTACGTGCCTCGTTGACTATCTATCATCCCATACCAATGTGCGCTCCTGGAATAATTGTTAAAGTTATAACTACGATAAAAATTTTCTTGCAAGGATCAATTTGCACAGTTCNCTACGTGCCTCGTTGACTATCTATCATCCCATACCAATGTGCGCTCCTGGAATAATTGTTAAAGTTATAACTACGATAAAAATTTTCTTGCAAGGATCAATTTGCACAGTTCTACAAAGAAATCCTTCAGCATTTCCTGGAACTTAAGACATCCTACAATGATTTTTTCTTTCACATCAAGAATTTGTTTTATTCAATAACAAAGACATATTGTTGGACGGATGCTCTATCTTCTACAAAAATAGGTTTGAAAAGGGCGTTTATCTCATCCAAGATCTCCTAGACGCAGATGGTAACGTCACGTCGTACACAAAATTTACAGAGAAATATCTTTAGAGCTGTAATTTTTTTAGCCTATTTTCAAGTCATCACAGCAATTCCCAGAAATGCCATAGAAAGGGCAAAAATAACCCCTATAGAAAAAAAAAACAGACTTCCTGTCAAAAAATATTTTCCCGCATTCATCAGAAATTTGCGTAAACCTTTTTAAAATGACAAAAAGAGACTTTTATAAACTACTAATTAACAAGGACAAAATCGAACTTAAGGCG